TAAAAAAAAAAAAAAAAAAAAAAAAAAAAAAAAAAAAATTGTGCTTCGCGATATTACGAAATTTCGACGTTTTTTTGACGTACGACACGTGGTAAAAAGCAAAACTATGTTAACCAGAGCCGGGAAGCCGAGAGGAACACGAAACGCGTGCAATCGGACGAAACAGCGATGATCAATGATTTCCGTACGGTGCTGTCCAAATTGAACTCCCTCGAGAAGCTGGATTTAGTTCGTGGCGCGCTAAAAGCGCTGGAAACCGAGAACGAGAAGTATAGCGAGGCTAATAAGCAAGAAAAGTCCGACTTCGATGAAAAGTTTAAGAGGCCCGCCAGCCACGAGCCTGTCGCGTTGAAGCCTAATTTCGACGTGAGTTCGGAGAATCACATACGACACGATGGATTTATCGAGACCTCGAGCAATAGGGAGTCAGAATTGCACAAGAAGATTGAGGAGTTGCAAGAAGAGAATAAGAGATTGTTTGCCAATATCGAAGAACTGGATCAACAGCATGAAGAATCGATAGGTAATCGTAAGCGTGTTCATATATGCACACTGTCTCGACCATAAATCACCGGATAGTTAATAAAATTAAGATGTGATCGCAAAGGATCATAATCTTAATCTCATTATTGTTTTCAAATTCTTTAAATAATTTGCACGGAGTTTCGATGTATATGCACATAAGCTTTAACTCGTTAAATGTTCAATTATTGTTCTATTTTTAAAATTCCTTCGATTTTCACTAAATGACTCTCAGGATTTTATGATTAATCATTTCTACTAAATTTTCATCAAATAAGTATTTTTCATTTGATTTTCTTCTCTAAACTAGATAAATAAAATCATACGACAGAATTACGTTCACATTTGTAATGATTTGTTTATTCAAAAATGAACAAGCGTCTGGTGACTTATCGTCGGGAGCGTATATCCTTCGATTTGATAACGTTAACGTTTTTCTTTTGCTTTCCTTTTGAAACGAATGATTGATCGTTCTTCTCTCAACCCTTAGAGAAGCTATTATCTCTGAAGGAGGAGATCGAAAGGAAACACCAGTGCCTTCAAAATGCCTACGAGCAGCTTTACGTGGACTACAATCAAGCTCAAGACAAAGTGATCCAACTGGAGGGTAAACTCCGAGAGTGCGGCATGCCGACGCGAATAGAAACTGTCGATCGTTCCGTGCACACCGACAGTGTCGAATGCGTGGACGAGTATATCCAGGACGAGAGAAGCGACGAACTAACCAGGAAGGTGAAGTACATTCTGGAACGGTTCTCCGTGGAGATGGAGCCGGATGAGTCGATTTTCGAAACTCTGACGCAGCAGTACATCGACGTGAAATGGACGAAAGACATGATGGAATGGGAGATCGAGTCGTTGCAAGAAAAGGTGAAATGCCTCGAGGTGGAGAATTCCGCGTTGCGCAAGAAAAACTGGTTGAGAAAGAAAAATGCGATGATACGGGGCCCAAACGAAACGCGATCAAAGAGTCAAGACCAGTCGAAATTGGAAAACATCCCGGAAGATATCGAGGACACGTTCAACACGATGGAGAACCTGAATCGAAGATTGCACATGGCGTTGGACGAGAACGATGAGTTACGGAAGAAGATCGATTTGTTGGAGAACGCGAAGAAGGATGTACAGGAACAGTTGAGGATGTCATTGGAGAAATGCAAGGGTCTGGACGAGAACATCGAGTTCGCCGAGGAGCTGAAACTCGATCTCGAGAATGTGAGACGGGAGTTAAAAACGTCTATTTCTAACGTGAAACAATTAGAGAACAGTTTGACGCTGTTGCGAGATTCGAAGGACGAAATTCAACGGGAGAACGAAGAACTGTCTGGGAGGAACGAACAGTTGGAGATAGAGTTGTCGCAGTGGCGTGAAAGTAATTCAGAGACGGGGAATAACGACACGTTGAAAGATCTGCAGATGCAATTAACGGAGACCAACCGCGAGAAAGATGACTTGGAGTACGATATATTAAACATGAGGAAGGAATTGGACGAGGCGTTGAATCAAATAGAGATGAAAGAAAGCGTGATAGCAAAGCTGAATCAAGAGAACGAAAATCTAACGAAAGAGAAGGATTCGTTGTTGGAACAGTTAACTGCCATACAAGACGATTCCAATGATAAAATAGACCTAGTAACTACAGAAAAGTCTTTGCTGGAACAGGAACAGACTGAGCTGAAGGAAAAAATAACGAATAATGAAGAAATATTGAACGAAACTAGAGAATCATTGCGAGAGATGGAAGAAAGGTATGCAAAATTGGAGAACGAATTTTTGTCGATGAATAAGATGGCTGAGAAGCTTCAATTGGAGAACGAAAATTTGCAAAATGAAATTAAAAAACACGAAGAATTAAAGATTAATGAATCGAAGCTCAACGAGTTAACTGGAAAATTAAGTTCCGTGCAAAGCGATTATGCTCAAATGGAGAATGAAATGGAAATGCTACGTTTAAGGGAAAGGGAATTTATAAAGTTGCAAGAGAGTTTCGCCACCGTGACTGAAGAAAATAAAACCCTGAAAATCCAATACGAAGAAACCAAGGACAACTGTGTAAAATTGGAGCAAATGGTAGCGTGTTTACAAGCGGAGAAAAGAGATTTGTCAAATCGTGTAAATGAAAGCAAAAATGTCTGTGATAACGAGAAGCAACAACTCGTATCTCTTTTAGAGGAGAAGACACGAGAGAACGACATCCTGAAAAATGATAATGGTAAACTAATGGCAGAGATGTTCGATTCGCAAAAGAAATTACAAGAGTTGATGGTCAATAACGCTGAATCAGCTGATATGAGCAAAGAAACGATAGAAAGTCTATCTCATCTTATCAGAGAAAAAGACGAGGAAATTAGTAGTCTGAAAAATACACTCCATCTTATCGAGACCGATAAGGAGATGTCAGATCATTTTGCATATATAAAGAACGAAAGGGATGAACTCGTGAAACTTGTAACGAGCAAGCACAATGAAAACGTGCAATATCACGGCGAAATTCAAAGGTTGTCGTACCTCTTGAATGAGCAAACATTGCAGGTTCAAAATTTGCTAACAGAGAAAAGTCGTGATCTATCCGAATTGAAGGAGAAAGATACTCAACTTCTGTCAATAAAGAACGAGTTAGAGGCAATGCAGCAACATTTGAGAAATGTCGAAGAATCAAACAGCAAGGAAACTTGCAGTGTCGTCGAGCATTCAACTCTCGCGGCAGAAATTGCGACTGTCACTGAAAAATGTGACGCGTTAAAAAGAGCACTAATTCAAGAACAGTCGAACAGTACACTGTTGCAGGATCAACTTAATAAAAGTCAAAGTAAAGAAACTTTGACATGTAGCATCGCGGAACACTCAACGTTAACAGAGAATATTGTGATCCTCATGGAGAAGTGTAACGCGTTCAAGGCAGCGTTAATTCAGGAGCAATCGAATAATAGAATATTACAGCATCAACTTAATGAAAGCCAGAGTAAAGAAACTGTGACATGTGGTATCGGCGAACACTCAACGCTAGCAGCGGAAATTGCGATCGTCAGTGAAAAGTGTAACGCGTTAGAGGCAGCATTAATTCAGGAGCAGTCGAACAACAGAATGTTGCAGAATCAACTTAATGAAAGCCAAAGCAAGGAAGCGAATGCCGCGAAGGAGTTAGAAAGATTACGAACACATTTGGTCGAAATGGAATCGAGCTACACGGAAGATGCATTACTTGCGGAGGAAGCGCGAAAAGAATTAGAAGCGAAACTACAGCAGGCTGAAGAAAAAGTAAAGAGCAGTTCAAACGCGTACACATCCGCAAGTATAAGAGCGAATCAACAAGTGGAAACGTTGCAGCAACAAATAGCATTGATTATTCAACAGAGGGACGATATACAGAACAAGTTATCTACCGCTGAAGATAAAATCTTGTCACAGACTGCATCCTTAACTAACTTGCAGATTGTCTTGGAACAATTCCAACGAGGTGACTTAAAATATTTAAGAATTATCAGTTCTTACAGTTGCTAATAATAACTGGAACTCGATTAGTTGATAATAATTTGTATCTATAATTTTTAGATAAGGAAAAAGATATCCTAGCGGCGACTGAGAGAATTCAATTTAAATTAAACGAATCCCATAAAAAACAAGAGGAGTTGGCCAATGATGTAGCAATTCTTAAGGTATATTTATATATTAATTGCGTATTGTTTGTTTAATAGTTAATGGGCAGACATATAATTTTTAAATAATTGTTAATAGGAACAATTAGCTGAAGCTAAAGAATGCTTACAAGCAGCCTCCAGATTAAGCGAACAACTCGATAAAAAAACAGAACGTATCGAACAGCTGAGCGAAGAAGGTATTCAATTCTATTATTATTATAAAGTATTACATTTGCCTGCATCTTGTTTCTTTTACATTTCGCATGATTTAGCATTTCTTTGCAATTATTCTTCAATCATTATTTATCGATAGCAAATTCACACGATATATTTATACGTTCACAAAGAAAATTTCTGTTCCCAAATTCATGAAAAATCGACATACATACATTTGACGTAATTAATTATGTAATAAATATGTCAATTAATATGATCTTCAAAAATTATTGTTAAACATAAGTAAATAATACACACATGTGCTTCTTTGGTGTGGACTACAAATGTCCGGGATTTTTATGTGCAATTTATAAAATAAAGTTTCAGGTATCTAATTTCTTAGGTAAAATAAAGCTTGATATTATCTAATTATTAAAATTTTCAATATAAATTGTTATGTAATATCAATATTAAAAATTTTCATATTGAGAATAATTCAGCAATTCATGTATTAATCTTTTTTATATGAAGTACTTTATTTTTTTTATTATTTTCATTTTGAAGATTTACATTTCAATTTTTATGAATGAATTATTCTCATATGATTTGAATTTTATGAAGTATATTGTATCTAAGATTAAATCTTATGAAATGCATTGTATTTAAATTAACTTTATTTGTTCTAATTTTTTACTAATATACAAGATGATAGATATGTAATTGCCTAAATTGTGTATCATTATTGACCATATGCAATGAAGAATATAAAAAAAATATTAATATTGAAATAACAAAATAAAATGAAAATCTGTTAACTATTAATGTTTGAGGTCAAGAATATGTTGGTTCACATACTCACTCACTTAAAATTTCCTTTTTATGCAAAATAGAAAAGCACATGCGGTAAATTTATGCAAAAGAATATTTGATGCTATAATAACTTGCCTATACACAAAATATCACATATGTTCTAATTATAATTTATGCACTGGTGAAATGGTTAAATACTACACTATTATCATCAGTTTGAGTGTGACCTGTGACTAATCTGCAAAAAGCAAACACGTAAACTATCCGGTGATGTAGTCAAATATCAGCTGGTAATTCTGGGATTTCGACAATAGCCCAGGATTCTTGCTGGTATCCGGCTACGAACTGGACAATCGCCTTAGCGCACTAAATCACATCTTTGTTGGCTCATGCATTGCCACTGGTGCTGGTACTATTTTCTCCTGTTTTTCTACATATAAATCCCTACTTACTAACATAAAATATTGTTAGATAGCAGGGGCACAAAAGCAAAAAATTTTATTATATGGTTTTTTTCCTTTATGTATAAATTATGTTTTTTAACTTAGTTTGTGTCATCAAGAATCTATCAATATTGTTAAACACATATATATATAATTTATAATTTGTGTAAAATAGATAATTTGTTCTTCCAATTGATACAATTGGAATGTTGATAGTACGAAAACCGTAATTATGTATTGTGAGATTTCTTATTTCTCAAGAGAAAAATGCTTAACAACCATAAATTTATAATACTATTATAACTATTATACTATAAGTTATAATAGTAATGTATAATGATGTTACTTAAATAATATCTGCTATAATTATATTATTCATAAGCTATGTATTTCTGTAGTTTTCTATAGAACTTGAAAGTTAAGTTTAGTATTCAAATACATCACAGATAAATTTAGTTATAAATACATGTATCAAAATAATATGTAATACATAAGCAGATGTGTATAAAAGCTGGTAGCGTTAGCGTGGGTAATCTCATGCGGTAACTGTGAGCGTGTGAATTGTAAAAGCTCATATTACCTCGTGGGGTTTCCCACCCGTTACCATTATCCTACAAGGATGAAATGTTATTGAAGGTTTTCATTCTGCTATCTATGATGTACATTTTTTATTTTGTTTTATCTCCAATCATTAATATTGTTAGAGTTATAATTTATTTAATTTTTCTAAGAGTAAACTCCCTCTGAACTAAAATCTATATCTTTATTTGTGCTAGTATCATAATTTATGTAAATGAAATTATTTTATGATTATGTAGCTATTGCAAATATTAATTTGTAAGATGAAGTACATGACTTTGTTTATAAAGAACTATATTAAAATAGCTATTGTAATGTATTGTAATATGTATTGTAACATACTAAAGTACTTATTACTATATTAATATAGCTTTTCTTACTTCTAGTGGCATGTGTCATAGTTTGCTAGTATAGCATGATAAGTGAAGAATGCAGCATGAGCAACTAAGACATGGGTGTGAGTATTACATCAGGTACTGGTGTGATATTCAGACAACCAGTACTTGTGTTATACTTACGCTCATGTCTTTTCAACCTTCAAATCCGCCAACTTTACAACGCTGGAATGCACATGTATAGAAATGAAACATCCAACATGCTAAACTTTTCCTTAAACAGTTAATAATTCTACTGTCTCAAATTACAGTTTAAGAATATTTATTCGGTTTAAGAATATCACTGACTCAGACCAGTGTAAAAATTATTTTCTAATATTTACTGATCTTGTTTCTATTATCCCTCTTTTTACATGGTTTTATCATATATTTCTAGTGGACCGGTTAACAAATCTTGTAAATACTGCTGATCGCAGAATAGAAGAGGCACAACAAAGTGGAGAGGGAAAAGTTGATAAGTTAATATCTGTTTCATACATTTATAAACATTATTCCTAGAGAGAATTACTACTCTTAATTTTAGCTATATCCTTAAATTTTTCTATTTTTTTATTGTATTAAAATTATCAAAAATTATTGAAAAACGACATTCATTCTTTTCAGAACTCTCGTTAAAAATCTTTTATTGGGTTACCTGTCTTCGTCGGCAGCAGATAAATCTTCAGTCCTTAGAGTGTTCTCCACGGTTTTGGATTTCAACGAAATGGAGAAGGATAAAGCGGGATTGAACAACGTAGTCGGGCAAAATAGTTGGTTTTCTCGTTTAAGCGGCGGATCTATCGTTCCTAACAAGGTAAATTAATATTTCTCTCGTAACAACACGCACAATTATTTACTGCACAATGTAATACTAATATTACTTATTAGCAAACAGATTAAAATAAACTTAATTAAACTATTCTCCACTCCACGCACGCACGTTCGCGGGCCTTACAAACGTCTAGTACGAGATATCGAATGAGTGATGCTAGTGTATACGTATATCGATATGCATATCGATCATATATATATTACTTCGCTCATATGAACTAGAACACACGCGCGCGAAATATAAATATTATATAAATTATATAAATATTAATTATATATATAAATTATATAAATATTCTTATAAAAACATAAAATACGCTATATAAATAATAATTCTGTTATCCAGGATCAGGAGGCGTCATTGTCAGCAGCATTCATTAGATTTCTAGAAAACGAATCAAAACCTAAGCCACAATTACCAGCATTACCAATTCAAACATCGGTAAGAATATTGATCTGTAGTTATTTATTTATTTATTTATTTATTTATTGATGTTTATCAATACGAGTAATACGGAATATTATTCTTTTCTAGCCGTTGCCACGACCTGGACACAGTAGACAACACTCTACGTCGTCGACACAATCTACTTCGTTACTTTCCAATGTAAATTTACCAACATTTCCAGACTTTATTCCAGCCAGAAATACAGGATCTATTTTAAAAGAAGTACTGAAGGACAGCTGATATTAATTCCTATATATTTTTCTTTGTAAATTGTAAGACTGTAGTGGAAAGCAATGTTTAAGGGAAATATGTTTGTTGAATTTCAATTAATAAGAGTAAAGTGAGTAATGATTATGAAATTAATTTTACCGTGCTTTTATAAGAGAAAAAAACGATATTTATAATAAATTTTGTCAATGAATTGTTAATTGTAATAACGTATTGCTTCCCTAACGTCGATTTTTCAACATAAAGGAAATAACCTAAATATTTGTAAAAAGTTTTACTTGATAAAATCTAATAAAAATAAGTAATAAAAAATAATAAATAGTAATAAAACGTAATATTTTATGGTGCTTACGAGAGAAATGTTTAACGTCAATCCGAAGATTCAATTTTCAATTGACAATAATTAAGTAATGTAAATTGATAAAAAAAATATGTTACAATAATTAGTACAGAGTGAAAATTTCGTCAATTTAAAATAATCCGTAATCATATTGTTTTGTCAAAAATACATTAAGATAAAAAATATTTTATCTCAAATTGTACAACGAATGAAATAATAAATAGGATACATTTATATTGAATTTGTCCATATATATTTTGCATTTGTAAAAATAATATGAAGTATGATATTGATGTGATTCATTCGTTTACTTATGCCAATAATAATATTAAATTTCATACAATCTAATTTATAACTTGATGGACAGAATAATAATTTATAACTTGATGAACATTAATTACAAGTTTTGTTTATATCTTTACAATCTTAAACATTATAATACTCTGAGATAAAATATTTAAATCATTTCAGTTAGTTTTACATTAACTGTATATATGAAACTATGTATTTAAAAAAACAAAGTGGTGGGTTAGCAATAAATAAATTATAAATTAATATTATATATAATATAATATTTCAATTTATTGGCTAAAACTTTAAATAAGAATTAGAATTTGCTTTCATTATTTGACATTTTATTTATATTAAAACATTTTACATATAGATTAACATCTGAATGTAACATAAAAATTATTTTTATATATGTAATTTATTTTTTTATATTTTTTTTATTGAGTTTTATTTATCGAAAATTATATTTCTATTTACAATGGTTATAATATCATGGATCATTTCCAAACATATAACTTCTATTATAACTATATAATTTTTATAATTATGTTATGAATAAGAACTTTTAATTTTTTATTATATAAATTATTTTAGGAACAAATTTTCAATGCATAATATGAATATCCATAAATTAAAGTATTTAAACTGAAATAATCTTTTTGAATAATTAGGTACATGAATACTTCAATCATATTGTTTTCAAATGTTCTAGAAACAAAAGGTAAAATATAGACAAAAGATATATACAAAAGCTTCAAATTATATTTTAATAAACATTTTATTTTTAAAAAATTCTTAAACTATATTACAAAAATCAAATTACACGTTTTGACATATTTTGATTAAAGCAATTAATTAAAAAAGAAACAGGAATATAATGTTGGATATATCAATAATTTAATGCATTTCTAGGCGTTAATTTTATTCCTTCTTTTCTTCCCTTTCTTCCTTTTCTTTTTCCTTCTTCTCCTCCGTTTTTTCCTCTGTTTCCTTCAACGCCGGTTTGCCCGTTTTTTCGATCGTAATTGTTCTTTCGTTCTGGACCTTCGGTTTGTCCTTTCTAGGAGCGATGATGTTAAGTACACCGTCGGACGATAAACTAGACGTTACTTGATCGATATCACATTGCTCAGGAATCATGTATCTCCTGGTGAACTGTCTTGAAATCCAACCGTGCTCGTCTTGTTTCTCTTCGTGTTTACCCTCGACAACCACGTATTTGTCGACGATCTTGACGTTGATTTCCTCTGGTTTGAACTGCTGAACATCTAGGATTACTTGGAACTTATCCTTATCCGCTTTTACCGTAGACGTGCCTCCTCCTTCGTTTTTCCGTAAAAGTTCACCCCATGGTCTGTAGTAGATCAGTGGGTTTCTCAGTCTTCGATCTCGGCTAGGCAAGATGTATTGATCGAGGATATTGGGATTTAATAATTGCTCAGGAGACAATCCCAAACCAAAGTTCTGATCAAGAAGTCGGTGCGGACGGTCCAGGTTTTCCAAACACTCGGAGAACAGCAACGGAATCAGAGACATTTTGACTCGGTCAATTGGCGTTTGATACGTTAAATAATGTACTTAACAAGATTTTAACAAGATTTCCTTGAAGATAATGTACGAAGCAAGATTCGCTCTTGATGTTCGTAATTCAAACATTTGCAGTATACTGTTGCTGTGCTTCGCAGCGCGCGCATTTATATCTGCTTTAGCTGTCAGCAGATAGAGCGTCTAGAATATTCTGATTTCGAGAACATTGTCGAAAAATTTCGTATTTTGTTTATTCACGAAGATATTTTCGCTTCTGTACATTATTCACAGGTATTTATAGCTTAAAATAACATAATAATTTTAAATTGTAAGCATAGATGTAAATAAAAAGAATTTCTTACCTCTTACCACATAACCATGATACACTTGGTGTATTAATAGAAATAAAATCAGTTTTTGTTTATACATATCTATACGTTTTTATTTACGCAAGCTTATATCATTTCTAAATTATTTTACTTCACAAAGAAATACTATACGAATATTTTATCATTATAACCTTTAATTACACAAAACTTTCTACACTGTCAAATGTGTAAATATTATTTCTATAATACTTTTATCGTAATAATCGAATTTTCACAAAATTAGTTTGCATTAAAACACAAAACTAAAAAATAAAATTGATTAATTTTCTAATCAATTTAATTTTTTAAATTACTTTTTTAAACTTCATTGTTATCGATATAAATCGCAAGTGACGTATTGTCGATTTATTGATTATTTAATAAATTGTACGATTTCACAATAACGTTATACTTATAAGTACAATTAATAACATTAATTTTGTTGTTGTATGTTTTACGCAAATGCAATTTTGTGCCAGAAAACTATATATGCTGTTTGAATAAAGGTTATTCATCGGAAATTACTATACCTATTAATAGCAAAATTTTGATTTTTCACAAAGTTCTTCTAAATTTATCTAGAAATACATTCTTCTAGATTTCTCTATCAATAATCGCATCGAGTGCACATGTGGATTTAATACGCGTTTTTATAATTGAATAATACTTGCCAAGATAACATTCCAAACTAAAAATTGCACTTTAGGCGTGTCTCCAGTCACGTATCTATTACGTTGTAAAAAAGATATGAAAAGTTTTAATAACATGAAAAAATAATCCATAAAAAATTATCGAAATCCATTGAAATTTATAAATATTAAAAAGTAGATTATCAGAATTTTGTCATTATTATTAAAAGTACAATATTAACGATTAAATCAGTTTAATTTTAAATTTAATCCGTTGTTTTTCAATCTTGAAAGTAAAAAATATTCCTGTAATCTTAATATAAATATCTTCTGAAAACGTACATATGAATAACCTTGACACTTTAGCAGTCTATACTACAATTATATTACATAGTTTGTAAATATAATATATGTCATAATAAATCTGTATTGTTATTTCAATTGATGAATATTATTTTGTGTATTATTTTATAAACGTAGTAATTTATAAAACGTTATTGTTAATCAATTAAAATAATTAAAATAATTCAAATTTGAAATATGGAAATAGTACTTGAACAATATTGACATTTCTTCTTTCAAAAAAAAAAGAGCTTTTTGCCTTGAATATGACAAAATTCTATACAAAATGTACACCACTAATATAATATATTTGGCATAAACTTCGCATTTCCTACGTGTGTGCAGTCTATTTTTGTACCATACAAAATCAGTGCCTGTTGGTGCTTCTAAGCTGCGAACTTATATGTGTTGGCTGCTAGCCTAATTGTAGTTTATCACAGGTCAGTATATTCTAAAAAAATTCTAGACGTTTCCAATTATAAATTACATTATTTTTAAGTAATAATCGATTAATAATAGTCGTCTTTTTTAGAGATTCTACATAAAAATAATTTTTCAATTTAAGTGAGAGATATATATATTTTGGGAATATCAAGATAAATGAAATTAAAAGTTTTATAGTCTTAAGTATTATTTATTTAATATGTTATATGTATATTACTTATCACTATTAAAAATGAATCTAAAGAAATTTATTGATTAAAATATATTTATAAATATTGTTAATAATAATACAATTAACATCTCATACATCATATTATATTATAACATATTATCAGTAATTATATAATTAACATTTAATTACAAAAAATTCAGTTGAACATTTAATATTGGCTAATTTGCTATATGATTTTTTAAATAGCATTATTTAATATTGCACGTCTTTTTAAAAATTTATTACACATTTAAACTATTTGTATTATTATATATTGTATATATAACACATTTAACTATTTGTATTATTATATATTGTATATATATATAAACTCATTTAAAAAAGAGAGAGGTGAATTAAAAAACTAGCGTTATTTAAATCAAAAAATATAGTTTATTTCTTTAAAAAGATGATAATACAAAATTTCTTTTTCTTATATAATTTTTATAAGCAACTTTCATAACATTTATAATACTTTAAATTATATTTCTAGCATTGATTTAAAAAAAAAAAAAAATGAAATCGATAAATGAAGATGATTCATGCAGCTTTGATATTGCCTTTTCTGCCACGTTGCTGTTGTGACTGTTGTGGCTGTTGTGATTGTTGTGATTGTTGCTGCTGCATTCGTTGTGGTGTTTGCTGTTCCCTTTGCGATTCTGATGAATTCGTATTATCATCCTGACTGGTTAAAGCTGGTTCACCTGTGTACTGTATGTTTATAATTCTTTCGTTTGATTCAGATTGTAAAGGCTGTTTTCTAGGTGCCGAAATAGATAAGATCCCATCTGATGACAAATGTGATTCTACTTGGTCGACATCACATTGCGATGGTACCATATATTTTCTGACAAATTGTCTGGATATCCAGCCATGTTCGTCCTTTCTTTCATCATGTTTAGCTTCGACGACAATTTTCTGATCCACCACTTTAACATTAACTTCTTCTGGTGTAAACTGTGACACATCCAACGTTACTTGAAATTTATCCTTATCAGCTTGCACAATTGACACACCGCGTCCATGCCTTTTGTTTAAATTCTTTAAGAATGGATGATGATGATGATGTCTTCTGCCACGTCTGTGTGGCCGATAGACTAAAACATCCGCATCAAGATCATTGGGGAGATCATCTGGATCTATGGTTGTGCCAAAATGTTGATCCCAAAGGCGATGAGGTCGGTCCAAATCTTCCCACCAGTCAGAGAATAACATCGGTATTAGCGACATTGCCTAATTATTTCAATATAAACTCGCACCGTGTGAACCGATTCGAGAATGTTCTCGCACTTTTCGTATATAACTAATTCAAATTAGTATGAAATTAATATGCAATGCAATAAATATCAATTATTGATTTATTTCGAGTAACTGATTATTCGGCCATACTGTTCTGTTGTTCACACATGAATCGACCGGCGACAACCACGCAATTCTCTTTATATATATTCCTTGTGCACTAGGTAAAATGGTGGGGATATTACTATCGCGCATTCAAGAAGACTCTGGAAAATACTAGGGCTGTCCTTGAACACAACCATCGTTTTCGTATCACAGATCAGTTCTGTGTGCAGTGGACTTGCGCAATATGATATAAACATAGCTTGAACGTTCTGTGCGTCCAAAAGCCGTAATATACATATATATATACTATATATTGATTTTTAATATAGAGAATTTAAAGTAAAATTCGATAAAACTTGAATGAAATTTTATGAAATTTTTCGAATATATCACGCAATATACGAGTACTTTGTTATGAATCATAATACTTTGTCATGATTTCACAATTAATCATGACTTCAAACTTTTTAGAGATTTTCAGAGATTAAGCTAAAATATGAGTCATTTATATTTAAACGTACATACTAGATGCGCGTAATAAGTTTTGTAAAAAGTTATAAAGTTTTAAATAAATGCACCATTGCTACATGTATGATATTCGTTAATATAAAAAAAATAGAAGCATTAACTATGATACGTTTATTGTTTTATTTTATAATTACAATTACCTGAAAACATATGCAATTATTTTTAATTTAATTTACAAGATCATTTAAATAAAATTTGGTACATTAAAAATATAAAATAATGCTTGTCTCGTGTAATTATTTTATTTAATTACAATATATTCAATAAAGAAGATAGAGGAATGTAAAATACAATACGTTCATAGTTACAATGTTGCATTGCCAGCTAACAATAAATTATCAGTTGTTATCATAGAGCTTAGCTTTCTTTTACACCTATAGTTTACAATACACTACTTACGTAATATAATTACTAATTATAAAAATATAATACTATTTAGTAGGAATATATAAATCAAAATTAATAATATTGTTCAATCATTCCTCATTCTATAGTATATCATTCCTCTATAGTATATTAATATCGATATATCTAACATTAGTACTACATGTTATGTATTAAATATCCTTTAGTAATAATACTGTGTTTAAAGTTGATTAAAATTTTCTTGAAATAAGTACTATAAAAATAAAATCTTTCTTTACATTTTCTTCTGTTTTACTTAGATTGATTGCATGTAGACCTAAATTACATCAAACATTACATCTCAGTATCTCGGTATTATCGATCGCTTACAAGATCAAGTACGTGCTTTCAAGTTAGATACAATTATTTTTATACATATGTTACATAGATCAGCTTACTAATTCGAGTAATTTAATGAAAATTCATTCAAATAATTTAAATCAGAATATATTAAAAATATGATAAATGAAACAATAAAAGAAACATATTAGTAGGTATACTACATGTATCAGAATGTTAATTTTCAATACTTATATATGTAATATGATTATTACATATAAAAAAATAATGCTATTTGAAATAATAAATATCACTTATTTATCTAATAAGATCAATATAGTACGTATTATATACATGTAGACGCTTGAAAAATACGTAAATCTAAATCTAAATTTGTTCAAGACGTTTCGCTGATATAAACATCAAATAAATATTCGCGATAGGAGCTAGTGTAGAATAATAAGATAATAAAAGTCGGTCTTAAATTTTAATTTTATTCTGCCTCCTCCTCCTCCTCTTCTTCGTTTTCCTCCTCTTTTTCTCCTTCTTTCTCTTTCTCTTTCTCCTTCGCTTCATTCTCTTCGTTTTGCATATCACATACAGACGGTTTGCCGGTGCACTCGATGTTAATTACCCTTTCATTTCCCGAAGCAAATTTTTCTTTGCGCGGTACGATAATCGAAAGAACACCGTCCGACGAAAGTTTCGAGGAAACTTGATCGATGTCACATTGTTCTGGAATTATGTATTTTCTCGTGAATCGTCTAGAGATCCAGCCGTGTTCGTCCTTCTTCTCTTCGTGACTTGCTTCGACGATGACAAAACGATCTACGACTTTAACGCTGATTTCGTCGGGCTTGAATTCCTGTACGTCCAAATTCACACGAAACTTGTCTTTATCAGCCACCACAATTGATGCACCACTTTCACCTTTACGTAAAAGTTCACCCCACGGTCTGTAATACTCCATAGGAGATTTCAAGTCTGTTCTATGCGATAGAAGATCGTATATCTGCATGATTTTTGGAATTAGAACTTCAGGGGTGACGACTTCAGGATTCAGATTTTTATCCAAAATACGATTGGCACGTTCCAGGTTCTCCCACCAACTGGGACAAAATAATAATTGCTCTAGAGACATTTCGATTATCCGTGGATTTCGGACTGATTCAAATAAATCAAGTTAATTATGGTTCCTCGGTTTTTCGCGAGAACAGATACAGTAATGTGATCACGGTTCTGGATAGACTGCAATATTTCTTAACGTGACCGAGGAGAAGCGCTCCAATCTGACGTGCTCAAGAAAAATTTGCAAGCACGCGCAAAACGAAATTTCTTGAAACTTCAGGAAATTTCTAGATAATTATATATAAATGATTCGAATTCAGTATCTTTTGAATGTTAATAGTCAAGTTTAAATTATTCTATGTTCAAAGTATTAAATATATTGATTTGTAATAATTTTCAAATGTACTTCTCTATTATGAACAATTTTACTATTATTTCAGTAAAAAAATACATTTATGCAAATAAAATTGAATTAAAGAATAAAAGACAAAATAAATAAAGATAGATAATGAGGCTGGTTTGTTGCGTGAAATATTCTATTTCATGGAGAAATAACTTCATACTAATATTTTAACCAACCAAAATTTTCAATCATTTATTACAGAATCGAAATAGAGATTATAGAAATTGCACCGTAGAAATTTTATTAAAATTTGCTTTATTAAAAAGCTATAAAAAAGAAATACAATTACAATGGCGTTTCTTATTAAAAGGATTTATAATAAATAAATATTAGTCTATCATTGGTAAAACATGGGAAAGGAATCGTAAAATTATACGTATGTATAAATCATAATTAATGGAGTCTTATTTCTCAGGGGTGGTCTCCTGTGTCGGATTCTCTGTTGTTTCCTCAAGATTCTCTTCCGTGGAAATTGACTTTTTGGTGTCTTCAGTCTTTTCCGTCGTTGTACGAATGGCAGGTAATTTGCCTGTAAATTCAATTTTGATAGTTCTCTCGTTCGACTTCTCTTCAGTTGATTTCAACGGTGCCGTGATCGTCAATATGCCATCGGAGGAAATGTTCGACGACAGTTTCTCTTCATCCGCACGTTGAGGTAGCAAGTATCTCCTTACAAATTGTCTTGAAATCAAACCGTGCTGATCTTCCTTTTCTTCGTGTTTCGCTTCCACCACAACGAACCCATTAATAAGTTTCACGGTAATCTCTTCAGGCTTGAACTGCTGCACGTCGAGCATCACCTTAAACGTGTTTTTATCTGTAGTGATAGTTGTATCACTTTCGCCACGTCGACGTATAAGCTCAGCCAATGGTCGATAATAAAAATCCAACGCAACTTTATTCGCTAGTCCTGGATATATTCTGTCGAGCGTGGTTGGTAACACTAATTGTTCGGGATAAAGCTCCATTCCAAAATTTTGATCCCAGAGTTGATGTGGACGGTCCAAATCCGCCCACCAAGCAGAGAACAACAACGGTAACAAGGACATTGCTGGCTCGATCGATTACGCTCTTTGGTGATTTTTGTCTTTCAATATTTGAAAAAATTGTGAAAATTCACGTGTATAAACAGAGTGCAGTATGCTTTCCTTTGGTAATGCGTACAATGCCTGCAGCTGAACTGAAACTTTGCCCTCCACAGCTGCTATTTATGTGAGCTGGTTATCGTTGATGGGATATTGTCTATATCGTAAGTTTTCGAGAAGTTACCGAGCTAAAAAACAGAGATATCGACGCATAGTTAATTAAATCAACAGTTGATTAAACAAGCTGACGTACGAATTATTTGACCGTAATATTTATAAGTCAGGTGTGATGCTCGATCATGCTATCTTATTATCTCTGTCTATCTTTGTCTTGCTCTTTCTCAATTTCATTCACATTGCTCTTTCTCAGTTTCATTCACATTGCGTTCAGTTCCAAACGCACGAACTATCTAGAACGTTCCACAACGTTTTTCAAAAAAGCATATGTAATACATGAAATAAATGTTTTTTTCTTTTTAAATTCGATATTTAATCAACTATGAAATATTTTTTTTATAACAATTATACAATGTATGATATGGACGATAGACATTAGTTATTAAATAGACGTTAGTAGAATTTTTATCAGCATTTCTATATGTTTTTAGAAATTTTATCAATGGTACCAAAAATAAAATTGCATGCCATGATGTTTACGTATTATATAAAAACATTGCGTAACATTGTGCCATCGACGAGGTATATGAATTCAGGATCACGATCAGTGTCAGTGTTACTTTCAGAGCCTAGAAAATCAATACGAGCATACAGTGGCGTGTCATGTATCATCAAATTTAAATGATATCAATTTAAAGATATCGAATAATATAATTTATTTACGAGCGTAATAAAAAGAAATTTATTACGATAACATTAAATATTAATATATTACCTAATAAAATTTTATTATAGATATGATAATCGCATTTTTATATGTATTCATATATTATATTATACATAAATTTATATATGTATAAATAATAAACTATGTATTATACATTATCATATTATTCGGTTCGTTAATTAATATTTCCATTTTTAGACATGTCATATAGAGATCATAAAGCTGATGTAATAATGTTAAACTTGACTAAAGATTGATGCATTATAAAAAATTTTAAACAAATAGTATGAAATTATTCTGGAAATTTTTAGAGAACATTATATTACCCGATTTTAATAAATAAACCAAGTAAAATCTACCATTTATTTTCCGCGAAAATATTTTATACAAAAATATTTTATTTTTCGTTAGTGACTAGTATATGTTATTACTTATTACCATATGTTATTATGAAAATATTGATCAATTTACAATTTGTTAGAAGATTCCTGAAGAATTCGATTCATGCATTTCAGTTGTGTTCACCTATTTGAGGCTGCAATTGACTATATATATTGACTATATATAATTGACTATATATACCATTGGATTGCTGGCATGCGCTTCAGTATACAAAGATCAAACAAGATGTGCGCACGTGTTTTTGTATTAACATAGTTAATTCTATTTCTACAAAAGTATTAATAAATAAAAACATTCAAAAATGAAAAGAGGAATGACATTAATTCCAAGATTATTCTCCCATTGGTGGAAGACATTGGAACGTCAACACTGGTTACTGGATCGGTATTTTAGCAGACTGGATCGGCCATTTGGCAGACTGGATCGGCATTTTGGCAGACTGGATCGTCAATTTGGCAGACTGAATCAGCTTTTCTCATCGGTGTTTGAAAGACAAGCATTTAAATCATTTCCAAATAGTTTCTATCTAGAGAATGATGAATACAGTTTGTCCATAATAAAAACTGATAACAGATTTCAAGTAATTCTCGACGTAAAGCAATTCAAACCAGAAGAAGTTAATGTAAAAGTTGTTGACAATTTCATTGTCGTAGAGTGTAAGTGTCTATAAGATACGTTTTAATATTTCAAATATCGAAAATGTTGAAAGAAATATCGTACACTGTGCATTTCTCTTTTATGGTGCAATTGCTAATGATTCTTTCAAACTTAACTGCAATTACTCTGTTATTATTGGATTTTAAATGTTGCATACTAGGAGGTATATAAAATGTCATTTTTACAGGTAAACATGAAAAGAAGGCAGGTCTAATCTCTAGACATTTCATCGGCAAATATTTAGTAGATCAATATGATTCTGAAAAGGCTATAAGTACGTTGTCTTCGAATGGTATTTTAACAATAATAGTACCATTAAGACCAGATGTTGCAAAAAGTAAACGAGAAAAAACAATTAAAGTCGAACAAACAGGGAAGGTGATGGAAGATGATGAATCTCAAAAAATAAAGCAAAATCAATAGAAATTTTGTTTCTATTATAGTGTGTATTATAATGTGTATTTCATTTTATTAGTGAGCATGTACATATATATTTATAAAATTACCTTTTTTGTATCTTTGAGGATTATATGATGAGTGTATATGAATAAATAATATGTACATATAAAAATTCTGTGATATTTTTTAACTATCTGTATCATTTGTTATACGTATTCCTTTAAACAATATAATTAATTTTTCTGACCATTCTTGAAGTAATTGATCTTGATAATAAAGAAGGATAAATTTTGCATAGTAGATATTCAGTTGATGCATAAAAACTTTTTGATATTATGCTTCGTTATCATGTCAATTTGTGTATTATAGATATTATAAACATTATATATACATATTTTTTATATTTAACAAAACCTTAATTGTTTATATTGAGAAAAACAAAATACAAGATATAATTTTTTTTTCCAGAAAAAATTGCTTCTTTTCTTGTTGTTAAAATAATATTATAATTACAAATTGAATTAATAAACATATTTTTTAGATGATTACAAATTATGAATCAATAAACATATAGTTTATCACGTAAGAAATTTTAAGATTTCATAATAAAGAAACATTGATACAATTTTACATTTAATGTAATATAGAATTTTAAGTGATATGAAAAATATTTTATAATCTTTATTTGTTAAATAAATAAAGTCAAAGGAGCAAAAAATGTGAATTATGTATTATTATCAGTCATTTCTTGTGAAACATTAGTTAGTGAGATGATTGAAATATTTCAGACATTATACATGATATGGAAATGAAAGAAGAAACAAGAAACCAAAGATTTTTTCAGAAAATAAAAATGTTACAATATTTTTAAATTCAGAACTGAGGGATAGTGGTAGTTACGGAGTGAAATTCACAAGATAGATATTATTTACTATAAATTTATTGGAAAATAGAAAAAAGTGGTACATAAATCTTACAGATTCTGAAAATATATATATTTACTTAAATATTTATATCAAAATAACATATATCACGAATTAAATAATTGTTTGTAATAATTATGAATATAACTAAGTTTTGATAACATAAATACTACAACACAATTTTGTAATTGATTGATAAATACATGAATACATTCTAAATGGCAGAGATGCAATAAATAACAGAGATACATTGGAACTTTTACTTCTTCTCTTCATTTTCTTCAGTTTGCTTTTGCTGTTGCTGTTGCTGTTGCTGCTTAGGTGACTTTATTTGAATTGCCGGTTTACCAGTATGTTCTATTTTGATCACTCGTTCATTTCCTGCATTTTGTTGATCCTTCCTTGGTGCACTGATAGTAAGAACACCATCCGACGATAATTTCGATGTCACTTGATCAAGATCACATTGTTCTGGGATCAGATATTTTCTACTGAATTGACGAGAGACCCAACCATGTTCGTCCCGCTTTTCTTCGTGTTTCGCCGTAACGACGACAAATTTGTCGACGACCTTAACGTCTATTTCGTTTGGTTCAAATTGTTGAACGTCAAGTACGACCTGGAATTTGTCCTTGTCTGCTTGGACTGTCGAGCTGCCTCTCTCATTACGTAGCAATTCAGCCCATGGTCTGTTGAGATAGGAAGTTGTTTTTCGTGATGGTAGATACAATTCAAACCGGCTTGGTGTTAGTAATTGATCCGGGTAGAGGCCCAGTCCGAAATTCTGATCCAAGAGACGATGCGGACGATCTAAAGTCTCCCACCAGTCAGAGAACAGCAATGGTACCAAAGACATTTTGCCACGATAAATGTATCAAAACTTTTATTCGATGAAATTCCGTAAAATTCACTTGGACTCGCAATCTTCACTGCTTGGCTTCTGACGATACACTGACAGTAGTGTTCTATAGCGCTCGTATTTATCTGTGAACTTGCGCAGGTCAGATGTTTCAGGAGATTTCGAGAATCGTCCAATTACATACGCATTGATCATTCTATACATCATACATAGATCGAAAAATTTATATATTTATGTATTAAAATATACAAGTCTCTAAAAGAAGAAATATGTTTTTATGTCATTCATATATTCATAGTATAAATTTTCTAAATTTTTGGTTTATTAAAGTTATTACTTATTCTGTAAACATTTTGTTATAGAACAACTTTTTAAATTTGCCTCCCTTTGGAACTGAACTACTCGAATATAAAAAACGATTAATTTTCAAATAAAACAATTAAGTATTTAAAATTATTGTACGGAAATTATATTATTTGTCAGAATGATATTTGATAACACTTATAATACGTATTATTTTTGTATAATATAGCTTTGTATGATAAATTAAAAAGCTTATATATACACAGTAAGATTAAATTTTATCTGCAATCAATCTAGAAGGTACGCGAAGATTCGAAATTACACAGTTCCTCGTTTAAATTGCAGTCGAATATTCACGCCTTTTTGAGCTAATGGAGTAATAATTTTAAATATTTCTTATATTATTTGATCAAATGTTACGTATATTGAATAATTATGCTTCCATAAACATTAATTTTTCTGTTTTTCCTGGGAAATTCAATTTCTAGAAAATTCCATATGTTTCTCGATCGCTGTTACCCCCACTGTATTTTCGATGCGTAACAAATATATACCCGCGTAGCAGTACTCCGATTGAATTCAAAATAAATCGTTGATAACAGTTAGTGTAGAATTCTTATTGTATTTAAGAAGTACAAGTGTATGCAATTGTGAAAGTTTAAGTGAAAAAACAAATATTATAAGCGAGAATATTTATTTTACTTGAAATGTATATTTTATTTGATAGGTTAAAATAAAAGTGCAACAATATCTCTGCTACCAATGCTATTTTCCAGTTGGTGGGAGGATTTAGAAAGACCCCATCGCCTTTTCGACCAACATTTTGGACTTTCATTGAATTCTGATGATCTGCCAACATCATTGGTTCCCTACGATGCTGATATTTTGGTAGTAAGACCTCGACGCCATAGTCTTCAAAGATTCCAGCCTTATGAAAGAGCTGTGAATTGTAAAAACAGTGGAGTATCTACTGTACAAGCTGATAAAAATAAATTTCAAGTTACATTGGATCCAACATTGGATTACATTGGATATCCAACAATTTGCTCTAGAAGAAGTAACAGTGAAAGTTGTGGGAAACGTAGTGGTTGAGGGTAAACACGAAGAAAGACAAGATGAGCATGGATTCATCTCTAGGCAATTTGTACGAAAATACATTGTGCCAGAACAATGTGATATCGATCAATTAAAGTCAAGTTTGTCTTTTGATGGAGTTTTAATGATCACTGCACCAAGAAAGCAAACTCCAGAGACAAAGAATGAAAGAATCATTAAGATTCTAACTACAGGACAACCAGCCTTGAAAGATGATTCAAAACCAGTTGAAGAACAGAAGGAAATTCAGAAGAACACCATATCACAGAGGAATCAAGAACAAACAGTAAAAGCTGCTTAAGACAGTTTAATGCAAAACTAATTGCATTCTAATATATACTCATTTTTCTGACAGTATTTTGTGACTTTACTTTTTACATAAGCTTAAAATATTTTTGTTTGTTTTATATTAGACAATAAAGATTTGTCAAATTTCTTATTATTTCCATAATCATAATTAGTGCTAATTAGATAAGTGCTAAGTCAATTTTAAAAGTATACATCACCAAGATACATGTATTCATTTATGTTTGTAAAATAAATTTTTTGTTACATTTCCATTTATTATTTAAGATTCATCTATCATAAAGTGTTCTTCAATAAAAATATTATTTTTATATAATTTTGAGTTTTTAAATTTCCCTTTTTCTTGAATTTAAATCATATTTAAGGTTTAATTTATATGTAGGTAATTTATAGGCATACAACAAAAATATAAGATATTCATTTTATTAAAGATACAATTAATATACATCATGTATGTGATAAAAAGTATAAATCTAATATAAGTATAAAATTATATACTCTTATATACTATTATATACTATTATATAAAGTTATTTAATAAAAATATAAAACTAATTTTTTTTTCAAAAATGGATGGAAACATTTAGTCTTTAAGATTACTATATTCTTAAATATAAGAAATAATTCTTTTCAAAACTGGACGGAATCTTATTGTATATTAAAATATATAAATATTTGTTCTTATTGCATTGTTCTTGTTGCATCTATAGATTGCATTCTTATAGAACAGCATTTTATACCATTTTCTATGTAAAAATAATTACTTCTCATGTTTAAATGATTATTTACATTATATACAAAAATATTCTACTTAAATATACTGTATACAAATGCAAATATACTTAATTTTTTTCAAAAAAGAACTAATAAATTTAATGCTGTAAGCATTTAATATTTAATAAATGTTTCATGTTGCAAACTGAAGTATTGCAATACTGATAAATAACAATAATACTGATATAGTAACATTATCTGCAGTGTTACATCTATGATCAAAGTAGCAGAAACACCATGTTACTTCATCATAATAGTCTCTATGAATATCTAATTGCCAAATAGAATTATTTACGTAATGTCCTAATCGAACATCTTTTGCAGCTGGTCGGCAACCTTCATATCGATCAGCTGGAATATCTGTTCTAAAGTTACGTACAGAACTTAAACAATCACGTGTTATCATCGTATTGGCTGAAATACATTTAGAAATTCAATATATTAATTAAAAAATTAGTTAATATCTAAGAATAAACTATCCATATGAAAAAAATTTACCTCCTCTTCTTTCAATAATTTTTATACATTTATCATCATATTCTGGGCAAGTTTCTCCCCAATACCACAGCCAATTCAAAGGAGTGCCACACCCAGGTTGATTACTATTACATCTGTAGCAATATAAAGTGTCTCCTAAAATATAATATACGTTATGAACATAATGTCTGAAACTGAATTAATCATAATAATAACAAAATTAATTATTGTTGTACCTTTATTAACAAGTATAGTCAATAATACAACAATGAGAAATATTTGTTTGTTCATTATAATAATGTAGTTGATATGAAATCTTCAATTTATTTAAGATGACAGTCGTTTGAATTGAAAAATTTAGTGCTTTAATATTAATTTACAACAATAATAAATACTTTAAATGTCATTAAAATGACGCCAACAGTAGTAGTAACCTTACTGTCTTTACATGTACTTTGTCGACTTTATATGGATACGTTGATATTTATTGGAAGAATCTAGTGACTTTATGTGTAGCTTAGTGAATTTTATTTTCAGTATTGTTTGAATTATCAATATTAATTTAATTTAAAATATTATATTAACTTAAAATATATAAAATATTAATATTTTTTAAATAAAATAATGTTTTATATATTTTATTTCACTATAATTTTTTTATTAACGAATTGATAGATTGGTAACAAATAAGTTACTAACATTATAGTATATAGTATACGAACCATAAATATAAATTTAATATGTAATTTATTCTTAAAAGTTTTATAATTTATTTAACTATTTGTAATAAAAATTAACAGATATTGCATATAGAATTTCGTATTCTACATTCTAAAATCTCAATTTCTAAAAAAATTAAAATAGTCTTAACTAGGGAAAAGATTACAGCGCCAACAGTGAAATATGTAATTATAATTTCAGTTCATAATATTCGAATGTAACGGAGAGACGTTAATTTTAGGCTGAAAGCGGTGAAAAGAATTATTATTCAGAAATTATCAGGTACAAATTTAAATTAATAGTTGTTACATTTACATTTGTGTTGTGAATAAAACTTGCACTTCTCTTTTTTTAACTTGAGCTCATCGAAGTCAGAAAAACTGTAATAATTTTTAGTTCTCTAGTAAAGTAAAATTTAATCAAATAATTCTTAAACATAATCTTCAACAATTAAAGAAATAATGGCATATAAACATTTAAAGAGAACTATGCTAAAAGTTATCTATAATTTTATACTAAAATTTAATTTTAATTCTAACAGTAACTGTAACAATGTGACTTTGTAATATGATTATATTATGTATAATATGTTTTTACTTCTGTTGTAACATTTCCTCTCATTTGTTAATTTTTTAATTTCATATACTACGTAATTCTCAACAATATCAATTCTAAATTTAACAATAATTTATTAAGAATGTATATATTTAATAGTTAAAATAATTTTATTGCCTAATATAATAAACTTTCTCATGTCTTAAGTTTAAACTATTTTTCATGAAGTGTGTGAATATTTTCGTTCTTTTTTAGGAATTTCTCATGAATTATGTATATTTGAGTTAGACTAAAGTTTTTTATTTTTTTTCTAAGTTTTTCGTGTGAAAAATGCGATTACAGCGCCCCAACGGTGAAATACGTAATATACTTCCTACGATTCTCGAATATCGATATTTCTCACGATCGATTTTAAAGCGGGAATAATGGCGGAAGGAAGCACACCTTGTCTGTAAAGAAGGAAGTGTTATCCAGAATAATCATTCAGATAGAAGTATCATCCAGAAGTTTTCAGGTAAAAATTTAAAACAATAGCTATTACATTTGTGTTTGTGTTGCATATTTTTAAGATAAAACGTGCATTTTTGGTTTCAACTTCAAACAAGGTAAAGTTTAACCAAATTATTACACATAATTTTCAATAATTAAAGAAATAATAACATATAAATTTTTAAACTGAACATACTATGCTAAAAGTTATTTATAATTTTATATCAAAATTTAATTTCAATTTTAACCAGTTGTAACTTTGTAATTAATTAACTCATTGTTTTATATATATATTGTATATTATATATATTTATACTTTATTAATAATATCACTTAATTAATGCACGTGTGTTTGACGATTCATTGAGCATCAAGATAATTAAATCGAATAAGATTTTGAAGCTTTTCTAAACTTTGCTGATATTTTTTTGATCATAGTTCACTCTTACGGTTATCGAATATTTTGTCTCGTATGCATTTTTAATAGAATTTGAAGTTGATTATCGTTTCACTTTTACATATTTATCTTTTTCATTTGACATATTTGTTCTAACTTTTGGTTTGTTTTTGTGCAGATTATTCCTTGGTTGCAAAAATAGCATAGACGTCATGATCATTAATGAACAATGATGAATTTTCTCGTAAAGTTGGTAACATTTC